CCTGGGGAAAACAGCAGGGCAAGGCGGGGGGGGGGGCTTGGATGCAGACTTTAAAATGTGGACCTTTACCTAGAAAGCATGAGGCAAAAAGTAAGTGTGAATGAGCTCTGAATGTATAACCTCAAAACACAGCCCCAGTAAGGGAGAAGGCAGTATGGTGTAGTGGTTAGAGTGTCAGGCGAGGACCTGAGTTCGGATCTCAACTTGGGCATGAAGCTCACTGGGTGACCTTGGGCCAGTCACTGCCTGTCAGGCTAACCTACCTCACAGGGTTGTTGTGGGGATTAAATGAGGAGGGGAAGAACCATGTAGGCCACCATGAGCTCCTTGGAGAAAAAGTGGGGTGTGAATGCAATTAATAAAGGAATAGCTTGTGGCCCAATGGCAAAGCATCCACCCGCTAACATCCACTTAGCTCCCATAAGGATGGGAGAGGAAAGACAGGTTTTTCATGGGGCTCGTCCGCACTTCCACTTGCCCCACCCCTAGAAAACAAGGGGTCAGAGCGGTTTTCTGCTTGCTCTGTGCTTTCTAGGCACAGGTCTGAGCAGTGTTGCTCTTTCCCTGCCCGTTTCCCTGGGAAAACCCTCTTTAGGAGAAAGCCTGATTGACGTTTGCTCCAATTCAGCAATAGAGATCAGGTTTTCCTGGGGGGAAGCAGCAAGGCAAGGGCAAGTCTGGATGAGCCCACAGTTAGGGAGGGGGGAGAAATTTGATTCACTTCATGTTCAAAGGCTAATGTGTCACACGCTTTCTGTGGCAATGATGTGAACTGAAACAGAGCTTCCTTAAAAAATTCGCACTTAACTCTCATTTTCAATGCACCCAGCAATGTTTACAAAGGGGAAAGTGTGGATACAAATGAATATATTGGTGGAAAAAACAACATACAAAAATGCATTCCATTAAGAAAAAATTGTTGCCGGAATGTGTATTTTAGTCAAAAATGCACACACAAAAATGTGTTTATTAGAATTAATTCACACCCAAAGGCTAATGAATTTTCATAAGGATTTTAAAGGAAAAGAAATCACAAATTTTTGCAGGAGTGTGGAGAATGAAATTTCAGAATGGAAAAATGAGAACCTGAGAGAACCGAAAATGACACATTGTCCTGCTCCTGCTCACAGTTGAACTACCTCATGCAAGATGCCAAGCAACTCAATTCTGACAAAGGTTACTTACTAAATGTTGTGTGTGTGTGTGTGTGTGTGTGTGTGTGTGTGTGACAGACATATCAATATACAGTGGTAACTCTGGTTACGTACTTAATTCATTCCAGAGGTCTGTTCTTAACCTGAAACTGTTCTTAACCTGAAGCACCACTTTAGCTAATGGGGCCTCCTGCTGCTGCCATGCCGCCAGAGCACGATTTCTGTTCTCATCCTGAAGCAAAGTACTTAACCCAAGGTAAAATTTCTGGGTTAACGGAGTCTGTAACCTGAAGCGTATGTAACCCGAGGTACCACTGTATAGAACTTTACTGAAAGTAGAACGGCTGGGACTATTGCTAGCTCAGCCTTTTATTCTGTCATCTAAACAAGGTTTTTCGTTGTTCAGGAAAGGAAGCAGAAGGGACTTCAAACATCAACCGCAGGGCTGGGCTGAATTGTCATCATCATCATCATCTTGGCCCTAATCCCCAAGGCTGTGGGAGGGTTCCCTTCCTGCTTCCTCAGATGTCAAAAAAGATTTTGCCAGCTATTTGTCTGTAATCCCTTGCTCACTTGTCACCTGGCTGCCAGTGACAGCTGTGGGAAGATGAACTGAGACAATCCACGTTGCCATGGCTCACTGCACAGAAACTCAGTCGAGGAACTGAAGCTCAAAATTCCTCCCGCATCTGAGCCCCAGACAAAGCACAGGGGCAGAGGCCTTTGTGGGAAAGTATTTGTGCCTGACTTTCATTTACATTAGGATTGCCAACAAATCAAGAGAGGCAGGGTAGTGCAGTGGGTCAGAGTGCTGGGCCTAGGCCTAGGTGGACCTGGATTCAAATCCTCACACGGCCACGAAGCTCACTGGGTGACTTTTCTCTCTCAGCCTAACCCACCTCACAGGTTTGTTGTAAAGGGGAAATGGGGAGGGAGAGATTCACCCTGGTCTTCTTGGAGGAAATGTTGAAATTAATGTATTAATACATAAATGCTTTTTAGAAAGAAAGAAAGAAAGAAAGAAAGAAAGAAAGAAAGAAAGAAAGAAAGCCCTGCTCTTGTGCCATCAATGGCAGCAGACATCAGCTGTTAAATGGTTTTCATAGGACATAGAGGTAAGCACTGCCACTGTCTACAAATCAAACTGCAATTAAAGGCTCAGAAGCCCTGCCCTCTTTTGCATTTGGCTACCCTAGCACAGGAGCAGGGTTTGGGGGAGAAAGTTGGCAAGCCTAGTTTACATATGTCTTGAAAGCAAGAGAAAGTTTATTTCCCAGTTGTGGTCCGAGTTCCCTGCAAGGTTCTGAAAACCAGACATCACAAATGCAGAGATGAAAAATGAAAAGGTACATTCTCTCAATCTTGGATCTGGATTCCTAGCTGGTCTCCAAGTATCCCCCCCACACACACACACCTCAATGGAAGAAGGATAGATGTCATGGGAGGGGGCAAGTGAGTAAAAGGCTTAAAATAGAGCTTGATTCTCCTTTTTTTACTGGATCCATGCCTTTAACAGCAACCTGAGTGCAGAAATTAAGGGGGGTTGGAAAATATGTTTCATACTAGAAAAATACTTTCCGTCTCAGACTGCCTTGAAGGTGCAGGAGCAGGATCCGTAAAATAAATGGCAACTCCGCTTTAAAGTGGAAGGTGGAGGTGTTGGGTGGGGCCAGGAAGACAACCCATCCCTTAATTCCTCAAAGCCTCGCACACAAACTGCCTACAAGAGGGATTAATTATTAGAGTCAGGCTTCGTCAGAACTTAGTCTTCCTGGAACCTGTTTCCAGTGCCAACACTCAGCTGAACTCTAGAATATTTGACGACTGTCATGAGGACTAGGGCTTCCTCAAACATGTGCAGAGTGCCTTTTTCATTTTCGTTTATTTAAAAATATTGTGTTTTAATGTTGTATCCTGTCCTGGGACCCTGGGATGAAGGGTGAGATAAAAATATAAATAATAAATAATAAACATTGTTTAATTATATTTTGATACATTTTGGTCAACTTGTTTTTAATGTTTAGTTTTATTTGTAATTTTAATGAAAAAATCATTTGTTTTATGCAAGACACTTGGATGTTTTTGGTGATTTAAGCAGCATATAAACCCTGTTAAATAAAATACGTAGTTATGAGCATTTGCTTATGGTGCCCAGCTAGGATAGCCATGGGTCAAAGTAGACAAGAAGCTAAACACATCATTACATCAAGTTTATAAAGAAAGAGAAGAGGAAGGGTGGCTCCTTGCTGAACAAGGACAAGAGGATTAACCCTCCCCCTCCCAGCAACAGTCCTGATTCAAATTCTTCCTCTCCATGCTAGGGATGGGGGACAATTTTTTTTTTCAGTTCACATTTAATGGTGAATGTACCTACTTTATGCTTTCTGAAACAATACACAAGCATAAGTGCAGCCATCCTTTGAAATTGCACTTGTCTGATTTTTGTAACACAGTTTTCCAGCCAAATAATAGGTACAAAAATGCATCTACCAGGGTAAACTGCATTTAAATAGAGAAAATAACGTACAAAGATGCATTATATTCAGGGAAAATATGTCCTCAGAAATGTATACATTAGGCAAATTAGCACACAAAGATATGTATATCAGAAGAAATTCACACTACAATGCTGATGAATGTTCATGAAGACCTAAAACAAAAAACTGGTGCAGAAATGTGGTGAACTCAACTTAAAACTGGAAAAATGAGGAACAGATGGAAACCGAAATTGACAGATTCGCTCATCCCTGTGCTATGCTGCTATTAGAAAGGAGGAAGAAGAGACTTCCATTGGCTCCAGTGGGAGGTTTTTCCCAACAGATAATAGCAATTCACAGGAGGACAATCAACAGCAAAAAAAGAGAGAAACAGAGTGGATAGAAAGGCTGGCAGGCAAAGCAACAGTCCATAGGTCCCTCTTTTTTTGGTTTCTCACCTTGAGGTGCATTTATAGTGGTACCTTGGTTTGCAAACAGTCTGGTTTGCATACGTTTCAGATTACAAACACGTCAAACCCAGAAGTGCGTGTCCTGGTTTGCAAACTTTTTTTTGATTACAACCCATTTTTTTGGATTATGAACAAAAAATTTTTGGAGGCCCCATTGGCAAAAGCGCGCCTTGGGTTACAACCTGTTTTGGTTTACAAACGGACCTCCGGAACGGATTATGGTTGTAAACCAAGGTACCACTGTATTGTAAACCATCTCAGAGTAATAAAGGACCAGAAAGTGACAACTTGGGAGGTTCACACTGATAGTGGGATAGCAGGCATCTCATTTGGACTTAGCTCCACATGGCCTGCTGGACTGACGCACAACTGTCCTCACTTTTGGCACCCGTGTCCCTTCTTGTCCTTGTTTAGGAAGGAACTGATTAAAGCCTGGGGTGCACCAGGATGACGTGTCACAGTTGTTGATTTAAAGTCAGTTAATTGCCCCCTCAGATTAAAGTGTTCTATGTTTGGCTCTTGGTTTCTGGCACGGCTGACAGGTTTACAACTTTTGGAATCTAAGGTTTTTTGGTTCTTATCTGTAGGGTCATGACCAGTTATGACTTTCCCAGTGAGGAGGTCACAGGCTGAAGCTTCCCTGAAGACTCTAGCAGTTTGAATGTAATGAGATTGATCAAAATGAGCAGGTGACAGCAAAGGTTGCAAGGTTTTTTAGCTGGGGCAATTAGAATAAGATCCACTATTTGACTATTGAATCAAAACCCTAAAATGTATTTTATATAATTGACTTTTTATTTTTATTCTTAGTATATCATATTGTTGTATTGCTATAGCCAATGGCTGACGCAAATAAAGATGCATTCAATTCAAGAAAAATGCAGAGAGCAAAACCAACCCCTGTATATGGCATTTATTGACCGAACTAAGACTTTTGACACTGTAAATCATAATCCCCTGTGGACTGCCTCTCTGAAAATTGGTTGCCCAGAGAAATTTGTGAACATCATTCGGCTCCTCCATGATAATATGACAGCAACAATCACAGGTAACAATGCCTCTCAAAGTGAACCATTGGGATCAGGTGTTAAACAGGGTTGTGTTATTGCCCCAACTCAATTCATTATTTTCATTGCCATGATCCTACACTTTGTTGAAGGGAAACTCCCCACCAAAGTAGAAATCATATATCAAACAGACGGAAAGCTCTTCAATCTGAGCAGGCTGAAAGCAAAGAGTAAGGTTACCTTTACTTCCATCATAGAGCTTCAATATGCTGATGACAACGTAGTGTGTGCACGCTCACAGGATTACCTCCAAACCATCGTAAATATCTTTGCAGAAGCTTATGAAAAGCTTGGCCTATCACTCAACATCCAAAAAACCAAAGCGCTGCACCAACAGGTACAAAATAACCCCTCTGCAGCACCACAAATCCAATTCAAGGGTGTAATGTTGGAAAATGTCAATCACTTCTCCTACCTGGGCAGTTATCTTTCCACAAGGGCCGCCATTGATGCCAAAATCCAGCATTGCCTGAGCTCTGTGAGTGAGGCTTTCTCCCAATAGAAGTGCAAAGTGTTTGAGGACCGGGACATTTGCAGAGAAACCAAAATGCTTGTTTACAAAGCTATTGCACTACCAACCTTACTCTATGCTTGTGAAACATGGACTATTTATAAATGCCATTTCCAGCTCCTCGAAAGATTCCATCTATGGTGTCTCTGAACAATTGTACACATCACTTGGGAAGACAGGCGTACTAATACCAGTGTACTGCAAGAAGCAAAGATCACCAGTGTTGAAGCAGTGATTCTTCAACATCAACTTTGTTGGACTGGTCATGTTGTGCAGATGCCTACTAATCGGTCTTCCAAAGCAACTACTCTTAAAAATGGAAAGCGTAATGCTAGTGGTCAACAAAAGAGGTTTAATGACTGTATCAAGGCAAATCTTTAAAAATGTAGTATAAACACCAACAATTGGGAAACACTTGCCTGCAAACGCTCCAATTGGAGAACAGCCTTTACGAAAGGTGTTATGGGCTTTGAAGACACTCGAACTCAGGACGCAAGGGAGAAACATGCTAAGAGGAAGGCACGCTCGGCAAATCCAACCATGATCAACTCCTGCCCAGAAACCAATGTCCCCACTGTGAAAAGATGTGTGGATCCAGAATTGGCCTCCACAGCCACTTACGGACTCATTGTTGAAACCGTGTTTATGGAAGACGATCTTACTTGGCTATGAGTGATTGCCAAAGAAAGAGAAAGAAAGATTGCTATGGCCGATGGCTGACGCAAATAAAGATTCATTCAATTCAATTCAAGCCTGGGGTACACTTTGGAGCACTGACTCTAGACAATTCAAGCCTGGGGTACACTTTGGAGCACTGACTCTAGTCAGCAGAAATCTCAGCCTGCGGGATGACACTTGCAGCTGCGTTGACTTCCGCCAGTGAGGCCATAAGACAGTTCTGGTACTGATTCCGTGTGATCTGTTTTGGAGAGAAAGGGAGAGAGAGAAAGCAATTACTCCAGAAACATACTGCCAGCATCCAGCATGCACAACCAGACCTCACCTATCTATTATTACAATTTATTTAATTTGCTAAGCCACCCAACACAGGAGATTTGCAATGGCCACCATGCTCTCAAGCAAAATACCAGGATGTTTTGTTCTCCCCAGGACCGCTGAGGGCTATGCAATGCTACCCTCCAAGCCCTCACTATCTGGCCCTCAGGATTCTCCCCCAGGCCTACGCACGCATTCCAGCCAGGTAAAAACACACAAGGAAAGTGCAGGCTGAGTGTTTTTGTCTGGCTGGGATGTATTCTTGAACTCTGATAATGGTTGTCTCTTGCCTGGATGGAGGAAACAGAGGTGTGTGAGAGAGAGGGTGAGTAAAAACCAGCCTGGTGTATAAAAGGTAAACATTCACATTCGTTGCTCTGCCCATCACTGGCATGTGGTTCCAATAAAGTTGCCTAGAAGGGATTGAGGCCCTCCGACTGAAAGAGATTCCTCACTCCTGCCTTATGTAAACACAGGTAGTCTGGCCAGAAATGGTGTGGTGGGGGCTGCTGAGGTGGCAGCTCAGCCCCTTCTCCCACAGAACTGCAGGTGGCCAAAGAATAAGCTACAAAGAAGTCAGAAGTAGCAAACATCAAGTTTACACCCACCCGCAAATAGGTGTCTAAAGAGAAGTCTTATCAGGATGGTCAAATCAACTGCCCAAGTGGGAGGAGGCAGTGGCGGAGGAAAGGGGGTGCGGTGGGTGCAGTATTACCCAGGTGTCATCCCTGAGGGGGTGTGACATCACAGCGGCGGCGCCCCCCAGGGACGCTTGCTGTGGGTGGCTAGCCCCGCCCCCGCAGGCACAGCATGTGCGCTGCTCCAGGTGCCGGAGCAGCTAGCTCCGCCTCTGGGAGGAGGGAGACCACCCACAATTCTGTGAAGCCTAGATGGGCAGTGGAATACTTTAAAAATAATGAGAGATGTGACCACATTCTCAAGTTCTTATAACCTGAGGGCATTCCTCTCCTGCCTCAGCAGACCGTTTCGAGAATGAGCTATGAGGGGTTGGGAACCGTTGGTCACCAGGGGGACATTTGGAAATCTGAGACATGGCCGCAGGTGCCAACAGTAAATGGCTGCCCTGAGCAGCATGGCTAGTTACAAAGCAAAGGTTGGGCCTGAGCTCCAAATGCTAAACGACACCTTTGACCTCCACCTAGTACACAAAAATTTTCACTGGTGGGGCTATGACCCTGCAAAAAGTGAATGCAAAGCCACAGTCCTATGCATGCTTACCCTGGAAGAAGTCCCACTGAACTCAGTGGAACTTATGTCTGAGCAGACCTACATAGAAGTGCTTTAGTCATGCCCCTTGCATCCCATTGCCTTAGAGGAATGTCCTGGGAGACCCATGTCTTCACACAGGTCTGCTGCCATTACATTCCATTTGCCCCTGAGAAAAGGAAATGGCTGTGAATCCAGCTGAAGCTGTGTTCTCAACTGAGGGCAGCTTTGGAATTTTCTAGATCAGAGGTGGGCCCTTCAGATGCTGCCGAACTACAACTCCCATCTTCCCTGACCACTGATTAGGCTTGCTAGAGCTGATGAGAGTTGTCAAAGCAACAGTGCTAAAGTTTCCCCACCCTTGTTATAGATGAATGAATATACCAGCATCTATTAGGAAAGTATCACCCTTCACCTCACCCAGAATCTCCTTTTCGGGGGTCAAACAAATCCGTCGAGGCCTCACCTTGATGTACAGGAGGTCAGTGAGAGCACGGACAGTGTAGTCTGCCATGTACTGTAGGCTGCTGCTGGGGAGGACCTGGTTGGAGCTGGTGATGCTAAAGCATTGCATATTGCTCATGCGAATCTGGGAGCCTATGATTTCCATACCTGCACATGGGAAAAAGTGAGGCGAGAATTGTACACTCCAGCCTGCTCCCCTTGGTCTTTTCCCCAGCTTCTTCCCTTGGCCCACCAACCCACCCAGGCTCCATCTACTTTTGCTGAACCGCCTTCAACCATGTTTCCACCAACCCAAGGAAGCTAGAAATGCAAGTCACATTTATGTAGCAGGGGAGGGGCTCAGACCAGGGTCCTGCCAAGGAAAGTGTACCCAAGAGAAAGGGAACAAGAGGGAACATTGAACTGGACACAAACAGTTCCAATCTGCAAGAAGCAGCCTCTGGGAACAGAAAGGGTGTTCTGTTGTTTTTTGGGTGGGGAGACTGGTGCTGCTTTGAGGCTAGCGCTGCTTATGCGCATGTGTCCCACATCTGTTGTGTTTCAGAGTCTCTCCTTGCCAAGGACACAATCCTTGTAAAGAGGCCCCTGAAACAACTTGGGGAACTAGAAGCCATGGATGGAAGGATATAGATCTGGAACCTGCAACAAAATGTTGCCTTGTGAAGTGCTGCTATTCAATATGCCGCTGTATTCCATTTCCATTTCCTTTTCCCAGCTGTCAGCCCTCTCCCACAACAGTCAGCCAGGTTTGTCTCTAGGGGATACTAGGCGGCTGCCTAGAGTGCTGGTCACTGAGAATAGCAGGTCTGGGGAACAGGGGATGGCAGCAAGTATTGGTGGGATTAAGGGACGCGGGTGGCGCTGTGGGTTAAACCACAGAGCCTAGGGCTTGCCGATCAGAAAGTCGACGGTTCGACTCCCCGCGACGGGGTGAGCTCCCGTTCCTCGGTTCCTGCTCCTGCCAACCTAGCAGTTTGAAAGCACGTCAAAGTGCAAGTAGATAAATAGGTACCGCTCCGGCGGGAAGGTAAACGGCGTTTCCGTGCGCTGCTCTGGTTCGCCAGAAGCGGCTTAGTCATGCTGGCCACATGACCCAGAAGCTGTACGCCGGCTCCCTTGGCCAATAAAGCGAGATGAGTGCCGCAACCCCAGAATTGGTCACGACTGGACCTAATGGTCAGGGGTCCCTTTACCTTTACCTTTATTGGTGGGATTGTTTTGCTTGCTTGCTTGGTTAAGCAACATTGTGCTAGACTTTTCATGCCTATGCCTGAGCACTACTTGCTTATAGGACTCTTTTAACCAAGAGGGAGAGAGATAGCAGAAATGATGAGCCAGAGGGAGTTGTATTGTCTGGGAAACAGCCGCAAGAAGGTCTGGCACCCTCAGGGAAACTCAAGGGCCCTTCCCTGAATGTTGTACTGGGGATGGATGAATTGCTCAGATTAAACCACTAGATGGCACCAGACTATGGTGCAAACCAAGTACGCAATTGTCCAGCCTCCAAAAATGCACAGGAACAGATGACTAATTGCTGCCTCATCCACTTTGCACGCGCACGCACACACACGCGCACACACACACACACACACACACACACAGACAGAAAATTTACTTTTCAATTCCATCACCACCAAATTTGCACTGTTGTCCTGGCGCAACAAATCCACCTTTAAAACAAACCTGACCTTTTGCAGCCAAAAAAGTGATGGGGGGGAGTGTGGACTGAATGGTTAACGGCAGGTGTGCCAACTCGAGGGGTAGTTGAGGTATCTTCAGCCGCTTCAATATTTGTTGAGGGAGGCCGGTGCGCATTGCATGTGTGGGTCGTTGTGCGTGCAGCGTCACAGCTTCAGTGCTCATCTCCTCCAAAGTGCTTGGCCTCCTCCAGACAATGTGATGTTTCGCATGCACCACATGCCGGGCCCCCTCAGTCTCAGGGGCAACCTGGTGCCTCTGATTAATGAAAAGATGTATAAACACCCCATGAGCAGCGGTGGAGCAAGTCGATCGGGCGCCTGGGGCGGTGCACATGCCCTGTACCTGGGGGCAGGGCCACGTGCCCACGAGACGGGGCCAGGCGGGGCAGGACACTCTGTGGGGCCCCCAAGGAGTCTGTCTGCTTCCCCCTCAGCCACTCTACAGCTGGGGGGAGGCGGTGGGCGGACTGTTTGGGGCAGCGCAGAGCCTGCAGGTGCCTAAGCCACCGCGTCACTCCCAGGAAAGATGCATGGCTCGGGCGTGCTCCGTGGCTCAGGGCACGCTGCGTTTTGTCCCTCCCCCCCCCAGTGGTGACACCTGGGGTGACCCGCCCCCACCACACACCCCTTCCTCTGCCCCTGCCCACGAGAAAACTAGGATGCATGTTGTAAACCGTTCCGCAAACAAATCAGACCAAATGCTCATAGGGCTCACCCATGCTTCCGCTTGTCCTATGCCTGGAAAGCATGGATCCAAGAGGTTTTCTGCTTGTCCCACATTTTCTAGGCATGGGTGAGAGTGGTTTTGCCTTTGTCCTGCTGCTTTTCCCACAGAAAACCCATCTATGCTCTACCAACTGAACCTGGGGTGTACTTGTGTTTCTTTCAGTCTGGAAATCATGGATACTTATCATTTTTTTCCTGCCATCTGCATTGTGTTTCTTTTGACTTGAAATAAATGGGGTGGAATAATGTAATAGCAACATAATTTATGTAATTTTGCTGCAGCAGAAAGGCAAGTAATGCATTTTTTAGTGGAGAATTAACTGCTGTGGAATGGAAACAGTGATGCATGAGACAAATAGAAGACATAATGGAAAATGATGTATTCTTATCTCCCTACCTGGTAGTAAGCCCTATCGAATTCAGTAGGACTTGCTTCTGAGCAGACGTGGTTAGGATTACAACCTAAACCATGGGTAGGCAAACTAAGGCCCAGGGGCCGGATCCAGCCCAATTGCCTTCTAAATCCGGCCTGCGGAAGGTCCAGGAATCAGCGTGTTTTTACATGAGTAGAATGTGTCCTTTTATTAAAAATGCATCTCTGGGTTATTTGTGGGGCATAGGAATTTGTTCGTATTTTCCCCCAAAATATAGTTTGGCCTCCCACAAGGTCTGAAGGATGGTGGACTGGCCCCCTGCCGAAAAAGCTTGCTGACCCCTGGCCTAAACTATCAAGTGGGGAGAGTTTCTGACTGTGGGAGGAGAAGGAATGCCGATTACCTCCTTGGATGGGTGTACCCAAGGCCATGACTCCATAGTAGGAGAAGGGTCCATTCTCAAACTTCATGTTTTCCTTGCACGCTTCAACCTCCACCTTTCCCTGGAACAGAGAGGCAATATTAGGACCTTTAAACTTGATTTGTCAGAGAAGGGTCAACCTGTAGCACCTAAGCCACTCTGGAATCTCACAGCAATCCATTCCATAGCAAGCAGAAGTAACTCCCAAGAAACCCAATCAAAGAAAACATTGCAGACAAGCATTATTCATATCTCTCAAACAACGGCCTTGGTAGCTTTGGCATGCGTAGGATAGGCCCAGAAAGAAGGGCTGCTCCTTAATTCTAAGTAGGGACCAGCTGCTATCACTCTGTTGTGCAGGACAGCTCAGTCAGCAGAGCATGAGACTCTTGATCTCTGGGTCGTGGGTTCGAGTCCCACGTTGGGCAAAAGATTCCTGTACTGCAGGGGGTTGGACTAGATGACTCTCATGGTCCCTTCTAACTGTACAATTCTATGATTCTGCAAGAAATTTTATTTTTTTTACTTACAGTACTGCAGGTATGGGGAACCTGTGGCCCTCTAGATGTTGCTGGACTTTGACTCCCACCAATATTTTTTTAATGAATTTTATTTATAATCATTATTACAATGATTACAATTTCCAATATCATATTCACGTTAAAATAAACATTTTCCCCGTTAATTTCTTTCTTTATAATAAAGCATTCAGTGACTTCCCTTCTTTCCCTTCCCTGGTTCCTTTAATTTCCCCACCATTCCTGCATATTCTCATATATCCATTTAGTTCCCTTTTCCTTTTATTATTCCTTTACTATATATTATACTGTTGTTTACCTTAATCCTGCTAGCATTTTCACATGTTTACAGTTATTTTACAAATACTCCACAATACAGTGGTACCTCGGGTTACATACGCTTCAGGTTACATACATTTCAGGTTACAGACTCCGCTAACCCATAAATATTACCTCAAGTTAAGAACTTTGCTTCAGGATGAGAACAGAAATCGTGCTCTGGCAGCACGGCAGCAGCAGGAGGCCCCATTAGCTAAAGTAGTGCTTCAGGTTAAGAACAGACCTCCGGAACAAATTAAGTACTTAACCCGAGGTACCACTGTATAATAAGAGACTTGATCTCTTATTTTACTTGTTAGACCTGTTAATGACTGCTCACCAGTCATGATGTGGGCGGCTTTTGCAACCCGGCACGACTTCCCTGACCCACAGGGTCACACCGCCTGTTGCTCCGACCCCTAGGCTGTCCCCATAGGCTGTAGGTCATCCATGTGGCCGGCACCATCAGCCAATCGGCTGCGGCCCCGGGGGCAGAGCTGGGGATCAGAAAAGGAGGCTGCAGTCAATGCTGGTCAGCCATTCTGGTCAGAGCGTCAGCAAGGAAGGTTGTTGTTGTGTTGTAAGCCAGAAAATAGCTTACCTCCTGAGTTTACACCAATAAAATTCAGAAACGTGAGGAGTTAGGAGTCCAATGCTGTTTATTTCAAAGCAATAGGTCACAGTCAGATCATTTCGCAAAACTGCAACCCCGCCTGGTGGTCCAGGCAGTGGTATTTATAAAATTTCCTGCAAAGCATTTCAGTTTCTACCAATCATATACATCATTACCTCATTTCATGTTTAATACACATGCGCAGTAAGCACTGGCAATTTCTGCTGATTAAGTTCCGATTCCCACCATGTTCTGTTACATTGTGTTAGTGTGCGTGTTGGAAACCTATGTTACGTGTAGCCATTTGCACCAGGTAGCAACTTATGTTCTAGCTTTGAGCTGTATCTTTGTGATTCATATATTAGCTGTATTCCTGCCCTGGAGGACTGGAGTGGGGGCCGGCAACTTGCAAAATCATCAGTTTCATAAAGTACATAACAGGTTACCATAACTTTTCTATTAGAAGCACACTCAAGGATTTACAGGGGTATCACATTTATTGTGGCCCTTTGGGCCACCACCACAGTTGGACCCACCTATATTCTTAACATGGCCCAGGTCTCGATGTCACGGCGCCTGTTGTCGCCTCATCTCAATGCTGGGCTTCCTTTATTCTGGCGCTGACGGGCGGATTGCTAGGTCCGCAGGCAGCGGCCTCCTTGGGGGGAGGGGAGAGGAGGGGCTGCATCCAGGCTACCCCCCCCCCCCTTGGGGACACGAGTTTGGCACCAGTTTATTTCACATGGCTAGTGTTAATTTTGTCCCTGATGCATGGACAGCGCCATGTTGCTGTGATCACATGGTCGGCGCCATTTTGGTTTTGCCCACATGGTCGGCACCATGTGATCTGCACAAGGACATTCACAGTAGATGCCTGGTTTATCGCTTGACATCTACAATGGAGGGTTTGTGCTCAGTGCCTGATACAAACTGCCAAAGGTGGCAGGTCCAATCCCTGTATGGGACAACTGCATATTCCTGTTATGGCACCAATTATTACAACACACAGGATTACTAATAGAATTAATTTGGATGCATGTGTGTATGTTTGTGTGTATACTGGTTTTCCGGCTTGCAGGGTTGGACTAGATGTCCAGCATTGGCCTTCCTATTGTATTATGTATGCCTGCATATATATACATGTATGCTGGTGTGTAGTTATATATATCCTGTAGTGTGTCATGCCCCACTAGGGATGATGGTGAGCACATTTCCTCCTACACAAGGGGGTTGATCCAGATGGCCTCATGGGTCCCTCCCCCTCTTGTGTTCTGCAACATTGGCCTGAAGATGCTGTACACAGTTGCTGTAGGACACGCAGTTGGTACTGACATGCCACATGGAGTGCCACCAGTGATAAGGCTTTTAAGGTGGGCTCTCTTCCAATTGGCCTGTCACTATCAGAGTCACAGAATCATGGAACTACAGTTGGAGGGGACCATGAGAGTCGTCTTGTCTGGATACATGACTATAGCCTAAGCATGGGGTACCAAACCTTCTGCACCCATGGGCCCTCATGCCAAACCATAGAAGTTGTTGTGGGCCTCACACGTGTGCTGTCTTTGCTCCCTAGCTGTAAACCCCACCCCTTGGCTAAAGAAGGCCTTTTCCAAGTTTCAGCACAAAGATGGGACCCAGCAGGCACCAGGAAGACATCTGTGGGCACCTTGGCTACCAAAAGTGCCGCATTGATGACCCACAGATTAGGTCATGCACTTGGTGCTTCCTTGGCTGTGCAGAGAGAGTAGGAAGTGCCAACAAAGTACCTGTAAAATGAGAATGAAGTAATCTGCCGGCTTATTCTTTTCATACAAGTTATATTCGGGAGATTCCTTGTCCTGCTCATCAATTTTCAGCTCACAGATGACACCAGGATGCTTGAGGAGACGTAGCAGGTACTTCTCGGAGATGAGGCTCGGGCAAAATTGCAAGACCTCTGCATGACAAGGGCACAGGAATCAAAGGATGCTTCCTGGAAGCAAAATCCTTTCCCAGATCCATGCCACCATAAGGCAAAGCGAGTTAGCCAGCTGGAGGCAGATGGCGGGTGGCGTCAGATGGAACAGAGTAGGAGAGTGATGGCACTCACATATTATGGGCATCAGCTACCTGAAAATCCTTTTGTGCCTGCTGCACTGAAGTGAACAGGAACTGAGCAGGAGCACAGCTCATTGGGAAGATACTCTGTATGTGTACAGAGCTAGGAGTTTGAATATGCATGTGTGCGACTCAGGTAGGTTTGGCTTTAAGTTTCAGATCAGACAGGACATTCCTGGCCCTACTTGAGGAAGCTGGGAGCAGGGACTGAACCTGGGACCCTTTGCATTCAAAGCTGATGTCCTACCGCTCTTCCCCTCTGCAGTACTTTTATTTATGGTAACTAGTTGTTTTACATCTGTTACTATTATATGCATTTTTGTGGCACTTGACCACAATCAATGCATTTTTGTGCACATTACATGGCTGGATAACTGGGCTGCAGACATTGAGGAAGTACGAATGTTCTAGGATGGCTATGTTTCAGTTCTTGTATTGTTTTAGAAAATGTGAATCAGGTAGGTTTGGCTTTAAGTGTGAACTGAATCAATTTTCTTGTCCTTTCCTATTCTGAACTCCAGTTGCTGGGAATCACAAATGGGGAGAGTGCAGCTGCACTGATGTGCAATGGGCTTTTGGCCTGATCCAGCACGGCTCTTTCTATGTACTCATGTTCATACTAATTTAGGATGTGCAGGGCAGATGGTGTGGCACACACGGCTCTGTCCTCAAGCACCTCACTGCTCCCAGCATCTGCCGCCCGAGGCAGCCCCCTCACTCTGCCTAATGGTAGAGCCAGGCCTACCTTGTCCATCATGGTGCTGCCTGAAGCAGGACAATTTATCCTGCTGCGCGGCAGGGTCAACCCTGCAAGGAGTTATCAAGCGATTTCATGGTCATGCTAGATGGCCTTCTCTGCCTTCCCAGTGGCCCAGGTGGTCCCTGAGGGCTCGTACCTGTAGAGAGAAAGCGGTGTGCAGCCAGGAGTAGCTGACGGGAGATCTTCAACTCAGTGTCATTGCCCCTGAAGGCAGAGAAATCCCACTTCCTTGGGCTGGCATCTCGTCTTCTGGTACGATTGTAGGCTGCAAGGGAGGAAACCAAATAAGGAATCACTACACTGTGTGGTTACAGAAGCAGCCATGGGCACACTATGTAATGTAAGAGTGGAAGGAAATGGAGAGAGCAGAATCTCGCAGTCGCATATGGATCTAAAAGAACATATACGTTTCTAGTCCTCATGATCACTGAGGAAAATCTGAAAGCACATGGTAGCTGTCTGCGAGATGGCTCAGAAACCAGTGACGTGGAATTTGGGAGCTTCCTGTCTTGTCCCCCCTTCCGAGGGGGTGACCCCCCCATCTCAACACCTGTTGTGCTTCCCCTTTAGCCCTTGTCGAAAAGATTGCTAGATTCTACCGTGACTAACATACATTTGGATTTTATTTTTAAAAAACAAAATGTATATACCACTTCTTCATAATAAAAAGTGGTTTACAAGAAGTGTTAAAATGATCAATAAAACAGTTCAAAACATGTAACTGGAAATAGTAAAGGTAAAGGGACCCGTGACCATTAGGTCCAGTCGTGACCGACTCTGGGGTTGCGGCGCTCATCTTGCTTTATTGGCCGAGGGAGCCTGCGTACAGCTTCCGGGTCATGTGGCCAGCATGACTAAGCTGCTTCAGGTGAACCAGAGTAGCACATGGAAACGCCGTTTACCTTCCCGCCGGAGCGGTACCTATTTATCTACTTGCACTTTTGACGTGCTTTCGAACTGCTAGGTTGGCAGGAGCTGGGACTGAGCAACGGGAGCTCACCGCGTCGTGGGGATTCGAACCGCCAACCTTCTGATTGGCAAGCCCTAGGCTCTGTGGTTTAACCCACAGCGCCACCCGCATCCCGTAACTGAAAATATTTAAAATTAAATAGTTATATTAAAACACATCAACATCCATGTATCTGGATAGCTTTGCCTAAATAAAAATGTTTTAAGCAGGTGCCAAAATGAGCACAGTGAAGGCACCTGCCTGATGTCAACAGGCAGGGAGTTCCAAAGTGTAGGAGCTGCCATACAAAAAGCTTGAAGTATGATATTGTTTTGTTTTACATTTTTGGATGACTTTATACTCCAGCCTTCACAAGTACATTTACGGCAGCTAACAAATCCAGATGTTCCCCCCTTACACCTTTCATCCTCACATCAGTCCTGCGTGGTAGGCTAGGCAGAGAGATAGTGACTGGCCCAAAGTCACCCAGTGAGCTGTATGGTCCCTGGGTGGGTCTCCCCAGTCCGAGTGATCAGCAGAGATAAAACAGCTGAGACCTTTGCCTGATACTGAAATGGTATCAAAGTCGGTATCACCACTGAGGTGTCTCCTTTCCTCCCCCTGCAACACCACCCACCACTCCTTTGGTGGCAGCGGTACCCTAAGTTAGGCTTTTCTTGAAATTTTCCATGATGGAACCCAAAATGGCATCCACAGGACTCCCCATGTGGTCCCTCGTCAAGGCACTGAGCAGCCCCAGATCTGCTTAGCTTGAGCATGTTGGCTGCATCATGTCCCTTCAGAGCACACCAAAGAAATACGTTTGTATAAATATAAATGTGTTTAACTGGCAAGATCAAGTTCAGAGTTGATATATCCATGGAGTTGAGCCTTTTTTGAAAATACCGGCAACACGCAACCTGGATCGTACTTGGAATTTCTCAAAGCTTCTCGTTTTTCCTGGCAACGCAGAGGGCTAGGTAAGGATAAACAGCAGGGCTCCATACCTGTCTGCAGTTTAATGAGCTGGGGGCCCCAAACCGGGAGCTAGGAGTTGCACAAAGGGATCAGAGTCCAGGGGCAAAGCCAGCAGTCAGAACCAAGAAGGTGGTTGGAACTGGAGGACAAATCAGGAAGCAAGGTTGAGGAGCAAACCAGACGCCAGGACTGAAGGGCAAACCATGAGGCAAGACTGGGGAGCAACTAGAGAGTGCCCCTCAAGAGGACAAGGTGGGGCAGTGCCTCTGAGCCTCACCAGGTTGCCTTCCATGAAATGGGTTGGGGGAACTGTTTTGTTGTCATAGAAAAGACTATTCGCTTCACCTGTTTTCCCTGGCTCTGTTTGCAGTGCCCTGAGCTCCACCAGGCCCAATGGGCACCAGTCACCATTGGGAGCAGGTCAGAAGCAGTGGTGCAGTTAGGTAATGATTATTCAGGAGGGCTCCTCAGATAAATGTGTATTCCTTCACTTGCTTCTGCTGAGTGAGGTCCTGGACTTCTGCACCACCTTGTTTTGACAGCCCATAATTTCCTTATTTTAATTCTGCCTATTGGTGCTTCATAACATTGCAGCTTGGAGCAATTATAGCTCCTGCAACAGTATCTCAGTAACCCTAAACCCAAGGCCAGAGTCCCAAATCACCTCATGACACTATTGATTCTAGGCAGACTGCAAGAGAAATGAGCAAAATTCAGTTGGAAACAACTAGTGCCGATCATGATCTTTTCCTTCTACCATTCTTCTCAGAGAGTTTTCTGCAGAAATGGCAGTGGTCCAAGATAGGCTAGCTGAGTCACCATTGGTGGGAACAAAATACAGTTGCACCTGCCACAGCACAATGTGTGTTAAGCCTTCATCTGAAGACAGGTGAGGAACACAAGGCCTGCCAAATATTGTAGGACTTCCATCATCACTAAAAATTGGCCATACTAACTGGGGCTAATGGAAGTTAAAGTCCAACAACATCTGTAGGGCCATAGCTTCCCCACCCACACCCAAGATGAGGAAATATAATGCAGTGAGTCTGTCTGTCTGTCTGTCTGTCTCTCTCTCTCACTCACTCACACACACACACACACACACACACACACACTGCTGTTTCATAGGTAGAAAAACAACTAGGAATGAACCTAACTGTAGAGATCTGATTCGTCCAGGATCTCTGACTTGATTATCTCTTCAATGACATCCTCCAGGGTCACGATACCCAACACTTCACCTTCATCTTCATGTTCAACCTCATTCTTCTTTTGGACAATGGCCAGGTGAGATTTACCTGTGGGGCAGACTTTGGTTATATCACTGAGGCATGGGCATAGCCAAGGGGAGAAGCAGGGGGCAGCTGCCCCCCTAGATCAAGTAAAACAATAGAAGTACTTAACTAACTGACGAATCACATCAGTTCTGCCCTCTAACAAAGTCCTGCCCCCCCCAACAAAAATCCTGGCTACACCCATGCACTGAGGCGAAGACATCATTTGATGGTGTTTTTAAAAACAAACAAATATATATATAAATTAGTTTCAAAGAAGTTTTAAAGAGTTACCGGTATATCCATTAAATAAAATTCTTATATAATCTTGGCTTTGGCCCATAGATGTTCTTTCATGGAGATGGGGAACCTGTTTCTCTCAAGGTGTAACTTACAGCTCTTCAGCAAACTTAACTATAGGTCTGACCATTTGTTCATCCAGCCCAGCCTATTCTGCCTGGCAGTGGCTCTCCAAAGTCTCAGATGGGAAATAATATTCCACATCTCTGGTATTTGACCCTTTTAAATGGAAGGTGTCAGGGACTGAACACAGGACTTTTCTGCTTTCAATGCAATCCCACCTCCGACATGCCTTTTTCTTTCATCCTGTAGATCCCCCGCTTCCATTCTGCTTTAACTAAGACAACTGTTGCATTTAAAGAAGAGTCATAGTATATATGCCTTCCCCAATTTGGTGCCTTCCAGATATTGTTGGACCACAACTCCTGTCATCCCTATTCTGGCTGTGAGTTAGAGAAAAACAACACCTGGAGATTGGCACCAGGTTTGGGGAAGGCTTCAGGAAAGCTGCCTGCAATCCTTAAAGTGCCTGTAGCTGATTCTGCAGTCACCTGCTTCTGCATAGGATTCACCAGTTGCTGGGAAGGACAAGTGGAAAGAGGGCTGTTGCATTCAGGTCCTGCTTGCAGGCTACCTATAAGCATGTGGTTGGCCATTAGGAGAAAAGGATGCTGGACTAAGATGGGCCTTTGGCCTGATCTCGCAGGGCTCTTCTTACATCCTTATGGCTATGGAGTGGGAGAAGTTACAGGGCAGTCATCCCCAGAGGCAAAGAACGATGAGAGAGCCATGTGCTCAGGCCAGCTCACCCATGAGGCAGAGTGAGGCAGCCGACTCAGGTGGAAGAATCCAAGGGGTGCTGCCATGGGTGCCCCCACCGGCAGAGAAGTAAAGAGAAGTGGCTGAGACTTCTGAGTTATGGCAAGATCTTGCGAGAGCCCTGCGAGAACTCCATGAGGTCTTGTGGGGCTCTCACAAGGCTGTGGCAACGCGGGTGGCACTTTCCTGTTTCACCTCAGGTGGCAAAACAGGTTGGGCTGCCCCTGACAGGGTGCTATATAAGGGGGTGCTGAACTCTTCTCTCACCCCACCTCCTATGATTCATCTGAGTTCTGCCTGGGGAGACACTGGGCCTCAAATGCAAGGGCCATTTCTGTCATCCATAAAATGGTGGCACCAATCTATGCCATCACTTTCTCTGGATGATGACCAATCCCTCTGGCCTGTTCTAAAGGTAACCACTATTTAAAAGTTGCTCCGTCTCCAAAAGAGAAACAAAAAGTTAACTTTTAAATGGAGGCTGAAGCTGACTCGATCTCCACCTTGTTACCTTTTTTGAACTCTTCAAGCACGGCATCCAATTTGGTATTGTGGCAAACAAAATGCACCGGATGGTTGTAAAATTTAGTGATCGTCTTCAGCGGGGTGCAGTCATCTGGGTCCACAAAGGCTAGATCCTTGACATACAGCATATCAACTATATTTGTCCTCTCCTTATCGTAGATGGGGATGCGTGTGTAGCCGCTCTCCATGATCTCCGTCATGGTGTTGAAGTCAAGGACGGCGTTGCTGTTGAGCAAGAAGCATTCATGCAGGGGGGTCATGACGTGCTCCACTACCTTAGTCCTCAGCTCCAGTGCTCCTTGGATGATATTCAGCTCTTGCTTCAGCAGGTCCATGTACGGCTCGGTCAGCCTCAGCATTTCCATCAGCTTCTCTCGGTTGTACCTGAGGCCCATTTCTTGACCAAGTACATAGTCCAGTATTTTACTCATAGGGTAGGAGAGAGGAAAAGTCAGCAGCATGACAAACTTGGTGATGACAATGGTTTTGGCACCCACTTCCAAGCCATGGCGGCAGCAGAGGGCCTGGGGGATTATCTCCCCAAAGAGAACAATGCCAAATGTAGAGGCCACTATAGCCAGAAGGCTTGCACTAACCATGGAGTCAAACAGTATGGTGAAGGAGGCGTTGACTAAGACATTGCCAAGGAGCAAAGAACAGAGCAGGTAATTGCCGTGCCGCCGAACAGGCTCGATCGTGGCAGCGTACTTCTTCTCCATGGGTGTGCCACAGTTCTGGACAATGCGCAGCTCCATGGGGTCCAGGGACATCAGGCCCAGGTTGAGACCACTAAACATGCCTGACAACGCCAGCAGGATGACCACCAGGACTAACTTCAGCCAGAGAGGCAGTTTGAAATTATCTCCCTCGATCACTTGGATCACCAAATCGCGGTCGCTGAACCAATACCGTGGCTTGCCCGAATTATCTTCCAAGCACATCACATAGTTCTTGAACTCGATTTCCTTCCGCAGGATCTGGACTGACACATCCACCAGGGCGGTGGTGTTCCGTACCTCGTGGCAGTATGGGTTCACCAGCATGTCGCTGCTCTTCTTGATGCAGGGGTCCCCATGAGCATTAACATCTGACACATCAGGTAAATCAGCAAAGTATAACATCTGGCAAGTAGGTCGGTGGATGCCCTGGCCGAAGATCCGAAGCCGAATGGTGCTTCCTTCCACCACTTGGATGATGCCGTTTTCCAAGACTGTAGTACCTGGTTTGGTGCTGTTCTCCACCCTCATGCCTAAAATGACTGTTCTACTAGACATCCCATTCCCAGCAGTGGCTGGCAAAGGGAACGTCGTCAGCAGAAAGAAGAGATACCTTAGCAGCAGCAGTACCAGTCCAGCATCCTCATCCCTCCAGCTCAAGCAACTCCCCAAACCGTTCATTGTGGACATGTCCCTTGAGAGCTCCTTTGATCAGTACCACCATATGGTAGCTCCCTCCAGATACTCTCTAGGTGCACACACTGGGCTGTACAAGCACATGTCATAAACCCATCTCATATGCAGACACACTCACCTCATTTGCATGCCACACTGTTTCCTAGTAGCTTAAATAACTCCACCCTTGAAGGAGATATTTGATATATTCTTCCATGGTGCGGGGAGAGGGGAAGGTCCTGTCAGAGGTCAGCACCCTAAACAGATGGCCAGTTCTTGCTCTGAGGGAGAAATTGCCCCCCCCCTCCAGATCTCTCTGCTCTTCAGGTCATTCTCTAGGCTACACATTTTCCTCAGCCATATTTCCTCTCCCCAGGCCACACCCTCTTCACCAACCATAGTTTGCCACTTCTGTGAGTGTTTCCTCCTGACTGGAATGTGTCCTTGAACTCTGATAATCCCTCTTGGTTGCTTGAATAGAGTATATGTCAAGGCTGCCTCAAGTCTCAGCTCACAAAAGACCAACGCCTATTTCTTCTTATATACAAAAGTGTTTATTGCAGTTCATTGTTTGCTTCACATCCGAGGCGCGCAGCCCTACGTCTCTTACGCTTAGACCGCTGAAGTCCCCTCTGAATCCGTCCCTCCCCTGCACCAGTTTAAGAGGCTTGCGCTGCTCCACCTCTTTCTCTCTTTCCTTTTCCGCAGGGTCCTTCTGCCCGCTGGGGTTTCGCCCCTCCTGGATTCCTCTGACGCGGAATCAGACTGCTCTTGCCCCCTCCTGCGGGCTTTGGGACCTGGCCCTTCCTCCGGGCTCCCTGTACTTCCGCGCGCCTCTACATTTGAACTTGCCGCGCGCGCCCAAACACTCACGTTCCTGTTGACAGTTACACTACTCCCTTCACTACTCCCCTCCCTTCCGGGAGGGTGGCTTGCTCTGACCTCCCTCCCTTCTCTGCTGCCGGAGCTGCTTCCCTGATACACTGGAAACTCCACCCCCTTCGCTGCACTCTGGTGGGGAGGCTGGTCCTGACGCCCAGCTGCCACTTTGGGATCCCCGCTGGCCCCCTGCTCCTGACACGTCCCCCTGGGGCTCCTGGCCTTGACCACCGGCGCCCCCTTCTGGGAATCCTCTGATTCGCTGGAAAGACTCATGGAATCTCTTGAGTCATTGTCATCCTCTTCCTCGCTGGCCTGGGATTCATCCCCATCGCTCTCCATCTCCTGCCTACCCTGTGCCTCTCTCCCTGAACCCCTGACAGTATAGATGAGGGTGCGTAAAATAAGCCTGTGTGTAAGATTAAGAAGTATATACATTGCTCCCCTCACATTTGTTTCTGGCCCTGCCCATCACTGGCATGTGGCCCCAGAAGGTTACCCAGGAGAAAATACGGCCCTCAGTCTGGAAAAGATTCCTAACTCCTGTATTAGATATTGGTCAAAAAGAAAGTTATCACCCTACTAGTTTTATTTTTTTCTTTCTTTCCTGGGCAGAGGGATTGTTTGTTAAATCAGTCTGGGAACTGTAGTTCCGTGAGGGAAACAGTGGTCTCCTGTCAACTCACAACACTAGTTACAATCCACAGTTCCCAACAGTTCCAAAATGCAAGCATGTCATGTTAAGGGGGGGGAGGATGCATAGTCTAGGGGGGAGAAATGTCAACTAAAGCTTACGTTGGTTGATCTCTCTATCTCCCAAGTATGCATTTGTATCATTGTATTCCAAGGTCCTGGAACAGATCTGAGTTTGTGCAGGAGGTGGTGGTGGTTGAAGATGGGGCATCGTTCAGAAGATTGATCCTGTCTTTGGCGTTACATTAACATCCTCATGGAGTAATGCTGTGCAATTTATCATAAAAAGGGCATGTTACCCTACTGCTTCCAGAAATGCTATTATTGGCTGAAGTATTCACCCCACAGTTTTGTTCCTGCACTTAGCTGCTGTCTGGCTCTCAAGAGATACACTCTCAAATGTATCTATGAGTCTATGATTCTAATATTCAGGTGGAAGTGGCTGCTACACAGCTAATCCCCCATGCTGTTTAACACCTATATGAAGCCGCTGGGAGCTGCAATCAAGTAGTGATCACCAACATATGACTGACACGCAACTCTTTCTCTCTGTTCCATCTGAATCAGGAAAGGCAGTTGAGATGCTAAGCAGGTGCTTGGAAGCAGTGATGGGCTGGATGTGGGCCAACAAATGGAAACTGAGAGCCAGTGTGGTATAGTGGTTAAGAGTGGTAGACTCGTAATCTGGGGAACCGGGTTCGCATCTCCGCTCCTCCACATGCAGCTGCTGGGTGACCTTGGGCTAGTCACACTTCTCTGAAGTCTCTCAGCCTCACTCACCTCACAGAGTGTTTGTTGTGGGGGAGGAAGGGAAAGGAGAATGTTAGCCGCTTTGAGACTCCTTCGGGGAGTGATAAAGCGGGATATCAAATCCAAACCTTCTTCTTCTTCTTCTTGAAAAGACTGAGGTATTCTACAGGTATGTTCCAAGTTCTCAAGTCCAGGAGGTGGGAAGATGGCCTGCTCTGGTTGGGGTTGCACTTCTCTGGAAGGAGCAGATTCATATCTTGTGGGTACACCTAGATCAAACATTGTCACTTGAGGGGTCCAGGTGGTGTCAGTGGCCACAGTGGGGGTGCCTATTACCAGCTCCTTCTAGTTCACCAACAACAACCACTTTTGGACGGAGATGACTTGGCCATGCAACTGCATGTGCTGGTAATTCCCAGACTGGGTTACTGCAATGCACTGTATGTGGGACTGCCCTTGAAAATGACTTGGAAACGTCAAATGGCAGTCATGCAAGAAATAAACAAAATAGCTAAACAGGTACTAGAAGTCACCCCGGAACTGGCCCTACTGAACATCTTCCAAGATAACCATGCCTACTCATACTATAAAGAGCTCATAACCCACCTACTCTCAGCAGCCAGAAACATCATAGCCAGACACTGGAGGGTCCTGTCAGGAATAAACATGGAACACTGGTATCAAGAAACAGCCTTACTAGAAAAGCTAACCAATAGACTGAAACTGACACGGGGACAAATAGAAGAGGACGCCTTCACCCTTTATCACATATAAAGCCCAACAAGACAACAACACGAACCCACCGACAGCATTCGATTCAATATGGCTAACTTGATCCAACAACGCACACCCACACATAAACAAATTCCACTGCAGCCAACCAAAGACAATCAACAACACCCTAGGCCACACCAACCTCTCTCATCACCAAGGAAACATCATAAGCGAATAGAAAGAGAACATACCCAAATGACGCTGACACAAAAACCCCACACATACACTAAGTAAAAGAACATAAGCTTTGCCGCCACCCCTCTCCTGTCCCTACCACTTTTCTTCCCAGCCCTATACTTCATATAACGCCAATGTCTCACAACAAATGTAACTGATCTGTAGAAAACACAACCTGAAGAAACAGACAATGCATGTGCTTTTGTACATGAGGAAAATCTTTAATAAAAAATATTTTTTTTAAAAAATGCAGATTACTGGCTTCAGTTGCTTTTAGAACTCATATAATCACTGCTCTAAAAAAGCTGCATTGGTTGCCAGTTCATTTCCAGGCCCAATTCAAGGTCAAAATCTATCTGTTTGACCAGGCATATTACAGTTGTTATTTTACTCTGCTCCGATTTGGCTTTTTGTGGTCTCTAATTGTTCTTATATTTGTGTTATTTCTATATCCTAGTGTCTCCTTTTGGATATTTAAAAGGGGTCGAAAAGGGAGGCAGGCTGCATTATCTTAATCTTTGTGGGTTCCTTTTTTTTTTTTTTACAGACTCTTCTTTTCAATTCTTTTAAGTAGGCTTTGCTATAATAGGGTCAAAAGCTGATTTGAAAATAATCGCTCATTGGGAGTGAGGAAAGAGAACGGGAGGATTTAAGACCAAGCTGTGCATTTCATACCATTAATTGAAACCCTCTGTGAGATAATGTGTTCCTTCTCCTATCTGAATCCTGCTCCCTCCCTCCCTTACACTGCTATTAAAACCATCCTCTCCACTTTCCTTTTGGCCAACTAGACCCTGGATGAGATTATGGCAACAGTGAGAAAGGAGGGGGTCTGCTCTGCCTTCCCTTCCTCCACTTCCTTTATGGGCTCTATGGTGCCATATCTGTCTTTCACGTAAAGAAGCAGCAGCAGCAAAAACTGTGTTTGTTGTTGTTTAGTCGTGTCCGACTCTTCGTGACCCCATGGACCAGAGCACGCCAGGCACTCCTGTCTTCCACTGCCTCCCGCAGTTTGGTCAGACTCATGTTTGTAGCTTCAAGAACACTGTCCAACCATCTCGTCCTCTGTCGTCCCCTTCTCCTTGTGCCCTCCATCTTTCCCAACATCAGGGTCTTTTCCAGGGAGTCTTCTCTTCTCATGGCCAAAGTATTGGAGCCTCAGCTTCACGATCTGTCCTTCCAGTGAGCACTCAGGGCTGATTTCCTTAAGAATGGATGCGTTCTTGCAGTCCATGGGACTCTCAAGAGTCTCCTCCAGCACCATAATTCAAAAGCATCAATTCTTCAGTGATCAGCCTTCTTTATGGTCCAGCTCTCACTTCCATACATCACTACTGGGAAAACCATGGCTTTAACTATACGGACTTTTGTTGGCAACTGTGTTTTAGTGATAGTTAAAAGTTCAATAAAATAAAAACTAAACAGGGTCAAAGTGGCACTCACCACTAGGGATAGGGGAGATTTTAGATTCAATTTGCATTTAAAGATGAATCTACCTAATTTGAACTTTCCCAAATAATACAACAACCAAAACAAAACAAAAAATTCACTTCTTTGAATTTTGCACCACAATGCTGCAGCCAAGCCATGTGTACAAAAACTGCAAAGTGAACATAGTGAAAATAACATACAGAACTGGATAATGTTAGATGAAAGTCTTTCGCAAAAATGTATATATTAGGCATAACTGCATACCAAACGTGTATATCAAAAGAAATTCACATTAAAGTGATGATGAATTTTCACAGAGACTTTATAAACACACACACAATTATGTGGAAATGTGGAGAACTGAATTTGAGACT